AGTATCACGATCGATTGACCTCTAAAGTCTGATCTAATAGCCGATGTCTATTAAATGAAATGGCCGCAAAATGCCGATCGTAATAGCTTGTAAAATAGCTAATTCTTACTGAGACATCGTCGAGTCAGAATCACGATTAAGAGCGAATTACGAATCGTTCGGTGAAATTTTTAGTATTTCCAATACTTCTGGAATTGTACTTTGAGTAAATATTTAGTTAATTTATGACAATATTTACCTAATACATTCTTTCTAGTTTCTAACTATAACTTTGGGAAATAGAAGACGATTGACTATAATAATTTTGTAATTGTAAATTGTAATAAATAATTGTAAATTGTAGGTGGTAATCCAAAAGAAAAATTCCAAATATTAGATGTGTTTGTGGTGCAAGTCATGCATTGTCGCATTTAAAAAAAAATCGTCTGTGTCCGCAAGCAGCGTTTGTACTGAGTAATCATGAAAACGGCTGGGCCGATTTTGACCGAACTTTCACTGAAGGGTAGCTGATATAGAAGGGTATATTGTAGGCTACTTTTTTATCTTAATATTGCGTGGACGAAGTCACGGATAACACCTAGTTTAACGTATAATAATAACTACTCTGAATACTTTCGGCCATGTCCTTAAGCTACTAATATTAACATAAATATGGACTTCAAATATAACAATGCATTTTCGATTGAAGAAGTCGGATTCAAACTATTTTAAACTATTATGAAAACGAACAATAATTTTACTTTCCTTATTTAATATTCGTAGCCCTACAGCTGTTCAGGAAGCCTGTTTAACTATTCCATGAATTAGTTAAAAACGTGGCTTGACTACAGGCCTCTACCGCAGACCGCAGAGCTTTCGGTTTCACCTTAACCTTCAGTTTATTAATTAACTCCCGCCGAGAGCCATTTCGTCGATAAAACTATTCAAAACACATTAAACGGTCTATATTGTTGTTTAAATGTAACTTATAATTGTCGTTTTATAGTCATTAAAGCCTAAAACTTAGTCTTGTTTAAAAGGTCAAAGTAAAAGTTGACGGTTATTTACTAAAATGTTTTGCATCACCCTTTTCATAATAAAATAAGGAAGGTGTTTTAATTTTAGCTACTTCGCAATAGTACTTTCATGTCGTGTTACTAGGTCTCAATGTCTCTGCTATGGAATTCAATATAGCCAACTGTCTGCGAACAAATGTCTACAAACTCGGTTATTGGAATTTGCAATGAAATGAGACGCATTTTATTCAAATTGTTTCTAATACATGTACAACATGAAATCAAATAGAAAGGGGCAAATGTTCACTTATACGTGTTTTTTATTATATTTTATTTATTTATTATTTTATATAATTTGCAAGAAGTGCGTGTTTAAAAATAGTATGTTTTAAAGACAGTCAGAAAAGTACTCCAATTAAATTTGGGAAAAAATGTTTATTTTTTCAACCAGTATAACTTGAATGTTTCGAAAAGTATTTCATTTCATTTACATTTTATTACTCCTAAAACTTAACGGCCCTAAAATAATGATCCTAGAAGATTTAAAACAAAGTAATTAATAACTCATAAGCTTGCCATTAACGTAGATTGCTATAAATACTTACTGCACTGGCAGTAACCCATAGTAAAAATGAAAATACGAATATCGTAAACGATACAAAGACTCTCGTAATTTTAACGAACCACGATGGGAGAACACAGAATAATGTACATTTATTATTTGAAAAGAAAGTTGCGTAAAAAGGACAATCAGTTGAGAGTTTCATCCGTATAATAACAGCACCGGATGCTTTTATCCTTCTAAATTTTATGACATGGAGCTGAAATGCCCAAAAATGTCACTTCATGGCTACGCACACTACATCACAATTGTGACACTCAAAGTAGGTCAACATTATTTAGGCTGGTAGCAATGCTTACAAAACTCGAATTTTATGTTAATGTAAAATATGAGTTTACGCCGCCAGGAGTATTCCGTGAGCACAAATGTTATTACAAAAACATTAAACTTCCCACAATAAACGTACTATGTGGTATGTCATAATTTTATCGCAATAAAATGTTTTATTAGCAAAGGGCGAAATGGTCACACTAAAGTGCCCATGCAGAACTTTAAATCAGATGGATAGATGAAGATTACCGGATATTTCAAATGTTACTATATTATTTTGCATTTGATAGTGTATAGATTTATTTAGTAGAGTCGAGTACGAAGCTACGCTACGAGCTACGACTAAGAGGTTAGCAACACTTTTTCCCAGTTTGTTCATTACATACAAACCGATTTATATTAATATTATAAAGAGGAATTTTATTGTATTTCGGGTATAACTCAAAAACTACTGGGCCGATTTCACCATTAAAAGTGCTTCCTTATCTGAGTAGCATAGGCTATATTTTGTAATATTTTTAATGCCACGTACGACACGCACGAAGTCGCGAGCAACAGCTAGTTCATAATAGTAAAGATTTAATTGGATCGATTAAATCTAAAAATGAGTATGACAGTGTATATAAAATTTAATGATGTAATGGTAATAATAGCGCAGTTTGCTTTTACTCAATGTTGATAAATACCAACTATAAAGATTTCTTGACCTAATAATAATGTGTTATGTTACCACTAACCTTGGGATTATGACATTACAATAGATTAACGACTTTTATATATGTATACTAGGAATTTCTTTCTCTGACATATTTTGTTGTAGTTGCTTTGTTCTAAAAAGATATTAGGAACATCATAAAAAACCTATATATGAATATAATAACTACATTTTACTTCAAACAATATACCTGAAATCTATTCTTAATATTATAAAGAGGAAAGATTCGTATTTTTTTTAGTTTTGTATGTATTCGATTCCCGTAAAAATTACTGGGCCGATTTTAAAAATTCTTTTACGGTAAGAAAGGTAGTTTATCTGTGAGTAACATGGGCTATAGCTATATTGTATAATATTTTTTATTTTGACGCGAATGATGCCGCGAGTATGTACTAGTTTAGTATTTAAAAAATGTTTACTAGTAAAGGATTACTCAAAATGTTATTTTTAGCAGTAGGTTGTATTAACCAGTTTTCTCTTAATATTCATATCATACAGTATAAATATGAGCTAGAATTATACGAGTTATTTTTGTAAGGGTGCTCATAAACATGTAATTCAGGCAATTTGCTTGAGCACGATACTTTCTACAACTCGTACATGCGACGAATATAAAATAACCACGATTTGAATACGCTCTATTAATGCGTATTTATTAGTTGTTTCTCCTAAAAAATATGACTAAAATGTACTAGTTTGAAATAACAAAGCAACATTTAAGTACGTAAGTAATTCAGGGACGTTGACATCCTACATTGTAATACTTCCTGGAATTACAATTTAGCCCTAATAATGCAATTGGTTCCCTTCGACCCAATTCTTTTGGTGAATTTTAATTTACAATAAAAAACATAAATGGCTTAAAGCCAACTTCCTGAAGTGTGGCCGCAACAACTGTCCCAACAAAACTAAACTCTAATAAATTTAAGTTCAAAGCGGAAGAGCAGCCAGCAACTAACTTCTTACGAAATTAAATTTTCCAACTTTGTTTAGACCACAGATAATACAATAACATACTAGTTCAGTAAAATATAATACATAAAACAAACATGTACTTGCAAGTAATTATTTTGTGATTTTATATAGGAGTTTCCACGCACCTTCTTTTTCAGACTAGCACTAACCTATTGCCTTTTAGCATTAATGTAAATCAGGTATTTAATCAAGTAGAGTAGCGGTAAGCTAACCAATCATTGCCTTCGCCCGCTAATTAATATCTCTTCGGACGTAACAAAGAGCTGCATTAACGCTATTGATGTTCTTACAGATATACGATCTTTAGTTGTTTATGTGCCACGTCTGGGATATCTCTGATTGGCTTATTCGTTTATTCAAAGCACAACTCTATTTGCAATCAGTCGGATTAGTTTCTTAGGACTTACAACTGTGTCCTTCATAGTTTTATTAATTTAAAGGAATAGTTCTTTCGTTAAACGAGACAATTTCGTGAGAGTATGATTTAAGTTATAATTTTGTATGTTATCTCATTTCTGTCATAGTTCTGTCACAATAATAATTGTTGTCTCTTCCGTGATCCGTATTTGTCAGGGTCGTAGTACATCTCAATTGAGGAAAGGATCGTCGTTATGAGCACTCATATATCGTTTAGTAGACATGAATTATTTTACCAGAAATTATAGATTTCACAGAAATCGAGCTTTAAAATTGAGAACCGAGAGATTTCCATTTGGCACAGTTCATATATAATTTCTTTACGGTGTCAACTCAAGTTTATGTTGAAAAAATTTTACGGCTTCGACAAACGACTTGATAGAGATAAAAAACATAAAAGGACATTAAGGGGAGCGTTTGGTAACGCCAATAATTTAGTTTTACAGCCACGTTTCAGGCTTTTTATTTCTTTTTAAGGATAAAGTTGAAGATGAAAATATTGAAGATAGAATTACCTTATTTTATATTAAAATCAGTTATTTTAATAATGACTCCCGTTTTGTTATTTATCATACTAATATTATAAATGCGAAAGTTTAGATGAATGGATGTTTGTTAGAGTTTGTAACCTAAACGGCTGAAAGGATCTCGATGAAATTTGAGGAAGAACACATAGGTTACTCACTTTTTTTTTAAATCCACGTAAACGGAGTTGCGGACGAAAGCTAGTTGTAATTTAAATGACTGAATAAGATTTTATATTTTGATTCTTTGTATTTAAATGGTTCCCTTTCTCATCTCATTCTTGTATTTTCCCTTGTATCTAATTCCCTATGTTGTTCCCTGTACAACTATGATTACTTTAGGATACACTCCAAGAAGTCTTTTTCATGTTTCTGATAGAGAGCTTTATTTCTATGTAGAATGTTAATGGTCCATTTTTATTTGCAGGTTATAATTTTTGAAGATGCTATGGTGTGCAGCGGCAGCGGTGAGATGACGAACTCGAGCACAATGGAATGCAACACCTCGAACTGGAACGGTTAAACCTGTGACGTTGAACAAGGACAGACAGATCGGAACTACTATGGAGATGAACGGGACGGAAGCACGTGGCGAGGAAGCAATATCGCTGGCGTTGAGCGTGGCCGTCACCGTCATCTCCGCTGTTGGATTGTTGTTAAACGCTTACATATTGTTCGTCATAGTTATTACTAAACAGGTTAGTAAAAGATACTCATACAAGTAATTCTTCTTTATTAATGCACTTAATCATTACAAGCCAAAAAATATGTAATACTAGCTTTCACCTGCGACTCCGTCCGCGTGAAATTAAAAAATATAAAAGTGAGTAGCATATGTGTTCTTCCAGACAATCCTCTACATTTGTACCAAATTACATCGAAATCCGTTCAGCCGTTTAGCCTACAAACTCTAATAAACATCCATCTATCTATCCATCCATCCATCCATCTAAACTTTACATTACAACGCATTTATAATATTAGTATGATTAATTAAGAATTTACACCGAGATATTCTTAGTGATTGTCTTTTGTTATAATCGATTGTCTAATGTTTTTATTAGAAACTATGGTTAATTAAATTTAATTAGTTATTAAAAAAATGTACATTGTTTTTTACGAAATAAAATACCAACTTATGTAAGGGAAGCCATTGCTAGCTGTAAATGCAACTGATTAAAAAACTTTTCCTCTTAACGTAGTAGAATTACTCGATGAACTCTTCTGTAATCTGCGAAACGGAAAATTAATTTTCCGCCCATTTAAAAGTTACCATTTGTATGACTTCATGTTTTTAAGAATAGTAGTAATAGTAGTATAATAGTTTTTAAAAATATTTTAGTATAGTTGGTTTAAAGAAATTTAGAAACCAAATTTTGGAAACGTATCTTAAAAGACATGACAAACAATATTTCAAAGATAACGTTATACTTAGATATGACATAAAAAATACTCTTTCGAATCACCATAATGATAACAGTTCACTGATTTCATTTACTAAATACTTTAATTTTCCTTTCGTGAAAAAGATAACTGGAAACAAACTTTGATAGAGTAAAGTTAAGCAAGTTTAATTAAACTAAATATTTCCATTTCAACGTGCGAGCTACATATTTAATGTTATTAAGTTGTAAATGACACCCTAATATTTTAATTATAAATTTTACGTTCAATCTACACAGAAAGGTCGCAAATTATCTTTAAATATTGCGACACTTGGACAGGGAATAATTTTAAATTATTCTCGTTTAAGTAACAAGTAACTTTAACAAGTTAGAATTCAACAAATATAGAATAACCTCAATTTTGTGTTGTGCACAACTTTTTGTGTCGGCGTATATAATGCTTGTGCAATTTACCTATGAACACTACGGTTGTTGATCAGAATTGATTATTACTGTTTCTGTTTACACAGTTAAATAATTACACTCATAAATTTTATTACCTACAAGAATCGTAAATAACGTAATTTCCGTTTGAAATGAACTCGGCACCATACAAAGCGAGAGTGTATATACAACGCTGAATAAACTAACAATGGACAAAGGTAGAATTGTTCGCTACAACTCTGCTACGAGAGTACCGAATAATGTGTTTTCACTGAAGCGAAACTATTCTTATATGCATTTAGATGTAAATTTTGGCGCTGGAATTAAACGGACAATAACTACTCCTTATCTTACGGCGGCGTAGATTATTATTGTAATCAATATTCTCATGTTACTGAAAGCTAAGCAACCAAATGTAACCAATGTAATATTTAATTTGTTAGCCGGCGTCGGCATCGTCTGTGCTGCTCGTACACCTGGGCGCGGTGGGCGCGCTAGCAAGTGGCGCGGCGCTGTGTTGGGGCGGCGGTGCATGCGCGTGCGGCGCCTTACTACACGCGCTGCACCCATTGCAGCTGTGGACTGTGTGTGGTCTACACGCCGACCGGGCCGCCGCCATCGCCGCGCCACTGCACTACGCCGCCATTGTCTCTGCGAGGAAGGTGAGCTACGGAAAATACTCTATTCCGTCCACTAGTTACACGGTCTGTGTTAATTCTTCAGTCTAGTTGATTTTCTAATCTTCGCTTTTGTTCTAGGCTTTGATATGTCTCATCGGAGGATGGATGGCAACTGCAGCCCTCTTGGCACCGCTAGCAGCAGCACAACCACCACTTACGTACAACATGGGCCTCGGAATATGCACACCGGACTGCGGCGCGGGACCTACGGCCCTGGGATTCTGTATAATCTATTCTTTTCTAACTCTGTTATTACCCACCACACTTGTTCTGGTTTGTAGTTTAAAAATACTACGTATAGCCCGTTATCATCGACACAGGATCGCAGCTGCTATTTACGAAGTGACACTATCGGCGCAAGTGACAGTCACCCATCAACGTAACCCATTCTCTCCTCCACCACCACCTCGACGTCGTGCGTTGTCTGCGGTACTACAACCTCTCGGATCTCTGGCATTACTCTACTTTCCCTATTATTGTATTTTAATATGGCCGGCAGTTGCCATACCACCACAATCGCTAGCTGCTTTGTCAGCGGCACTTCTAGCGGCTGCTCCTCCCGTCAATGGCATCTTATATGGTATCCGTAGTAGAGCACTAAGAGACTCACTTCGAAATTATAGGAGAAAAAGGATGACAAAAAGTGAAGTAACTCAAGAGATTCAGGCTCGGACACCCAGCGCCTGTGGATCTAGAAGACCGTCATTATCGGCGGGCTCGGGGTGCATCCGTCCACCGACTACAAGGCGGCTCTCCGATGCTGCGGCGATGGGGTCTCGAGGATCGGAAAGACCAGCGCAGCGAGCCGCATCGTGTAATATGTTGCAAGATTCTCAGGAAGAAGAATATCCACGGCCGAGATCGTCGGCCATACCTTTGATCCGTGCGCCTCCTCACGTTGTTTTAGGTCGGGCTCTGGGTCTCGAAGAAGGTATTAGCAGAGATCGGCGTCGTCGTCAATCTCCTCGTATCACCGTCACTCGAGCTATGTCTGATGAGAGCGAATCGCCCTCTCGTCGTCCGCTGTGTCGCCAGCAGTCGCGCTCCAGCGGCGCCCTGCTGGGCACCATGTCGTGTTCCAGGGCGCTCTCGGAAAACATGCAACTCGACAATGCGGCCGACGAACAATTCCTGCTCTCTTGGCCTCAACGTGCTCATGTCAAACATGAGGTTTTATAAAACGGGTATATTTAAAGTTAAGTCGTGCTTTTGAAAATTATGCGTACAAAGACAATAATGCGCGTACGGTTCGATGTCAAATTATATTTATTGTTTCAACTGATATTATTTTTAAAGGCTTTTTCGTCGACATCTCTCGACATTCCCGACCAAACTGACCAAACCGTTAACGTATCCTCTATTTTCTACTATCGTAGGCGTAATGATTTACCTTACAGGGTTCCTCCATATCGTTAGCTTTACCTACTGAAGTATTACTCTAGGGTGTGCTCCTAAAACTATCTGAAATATTCCATAGATTTAAGAACGATTTGATGAGATTATTGAATATATTTTTTGTTAAATTATTTTCTGTGAGTGTTTGTGTAACGAATAATATGAATAATAAACGCAAATAGTTATTATAGATTGTTGGAATGTAATGCACCGAACTAGTCAACATATGTAATTTACATGAAAGTAAGGTTCGTGTAAATATTTAAACGCTTTTACACCGTCGCCGCCGTCCAGTTTGTGGAATCCTTTACTTGTGCTGGGCTTAAAAAATAGCTTGTAGATTGTAATTATAAATGTGCGAGTTAATTGTTTACCTATTTATAACGAAGGGTTCATTGTCGCATAAAACTCAGGCCTCGAAATGTTACGGCAACGGCATTTGGCGGTCGTAGTTGTTTAGTCACCAAAGATATTTTCTTGTTGTTTACTTTTGTAATGATAAAACAATTGAATGGATTTTTACTAATAGACAGCACTTTTGTTATAGTGTTATACGAATACTGGCCAGTTTTGGTATATCTATTGACTAATGAAAACTACAAAATTAAAGGACTCCGAAAAAAAAAAATTACAACATCTTAAATGAGAATGTAATTATGAAAAAATTCCATAGCTGTCCTGTATTATTGTATTGCATTGTATACTGTAATTCGTGAATAGTTCCCGATGTCTCTTCTAGTTTGTCAGGTTCACAACAGTGTAGTATATAGTTTAGATTAAGTTAGTAAATTTGATTTGTGACATTCCAAAGCGGAAATCGTTTGTAGTTATTTCGTGTAATTGAGAAAGCTATATAACTATTCCAATAATTTGGTAATTTTTGAAAATAATAATTGTTATATCGTATTGCTTTGTTAAAAATAATGAAGATATGAAAAATCAAAGATTTAATAATTCAATGTTGATAATAATAAATGTCTAATAGCCACGATATTCTATATAAAAAGTTATTTGTAAAAATAAATGTTGTTATGATATTTTATCTAAAGTTCCTTGATAGTTTGAAAGGTTTTATTTACTGTAACGTAAACTGTATCTTTTAAAAGTGAAATTGTACGCTTAAAAGTATTTTTCATGATAGAGTATTAATTATAATGGAACTGTTAATCTAGTCAAAGAGCTGTTGTTTATAAATTACGTGTTAATTTAATGTAAAGTTTAATAAGAATTAAATAAAAGATCTGAAATTATAGTCTTTACTTTATTTCTTTCCTAAATTTTAAATATTCATTTATTCCTTTGATACAAAAGCTATTAAACTAAGTACTTAAAAATAAGCAAAATTAATAAGTCTTTTGACAAGCAGTGTATTTAAAATTTTATTCATATCGTATTTTTGAAAGCTTTTTCATTAGTCACGTAAGCAATGGGACGTGACTGGTAATTGATTTAAAAATACGAATAGATTAGATTCTATAAATTAACGATGAAATATTGAAAATGTAGAATTGTATTGCGAATATCGATGACTATAATTTCTTTTACACGCTTTCGCCATTGAATATTAAAAGCATGTCATGGGTCGATATTTCTAAATCCAACATGAAGTAATGGTATTATTATATTCCATAAACAATCCTACCTTTTCATATATAATTAGACTAGCTGTTCCCATGCGACTTCATCCACATAAAATTATAAAAAAATCATTTTATTGTTCACATTTGTCAAATTATCAATTGCAAATGTCAAAATGACATGACATGATATCAAATCATGGCAACCTTGCTTCCTTGATGTTGGCAACAACTTATGGTCTCTTTTCCACTTTAGGGTTTTAATCCAAAATATTTACCCCTAACTTTAAGAGAGCGTCGGTGGCTCAGTGGTTTAAACACTTGACTTGTAATCTACAGGTCTTGGGTTCGAATCCCGCCATGTACCAATGTGATTTTCGATTTTTCGAATTTTCATATGTACATAATTTACCCGACGCTCTTACGGTGAAGGAAAACATCGTGATGCAACCTGCACATATCGACGAAGAAATTCAAAGATATGTGTGAAATCAACCAACCCGCACTTGGCCAGCGTGGTTGACTATGGCCTAGTCACCCTTACTTAGGGTAGGCTCGGAGCCCCTCGGTGGGGATATGTGGACTGGTGATGATGATGATGATGATGATGAACTTTAACGGCGTGAAAATATATAGCCTAAAGCGTGACGTAAGTGTAGGGCTCTTTATTAAAAAAGAGTTATTCGAAAATATGCTGTAATTGCTGACATCTTAGGCAACAAAGAAGTGTATGTTTACGCTTTATTATAATAGTATAGTTGTAAATTTAGAAGATTCAATAAGTCCGATTGAATTACCTCCGTGGGTAGTCCACGATTATATGAATGGCTTACATACCTATGAAAATCTATGTACACTCTTATTTTTATTCCGTATCGGCTGACTAGTAGTCAAATTATTTTATAGGTCAAAAAATTCATGTTTAACAAACATATCTATCCCTAACTATGCCTATCTGCCTTTTGGGAATATAATAATATAAGCTACACAACTGGGACACGTTGACGGGACACGTGTAGCTAATTGTATTACTAAATGACATACGAACATGAAAAATAAATCAAAATGAACATTCCTTGTGTGTTCATACCTTTATGTCCAATCATCATTTAACCTAAACTCATAAGTTCAACCATATTTTCTACAATAAATTTTACAAGTATGAAAATGCGTTTACGTTATAATATCAACAGTAGTTTTTACTGGCGAAAACAGTTGGTAGTGTTAACTTACATTAATGCGAATATGCGTAGTCATTTTAGTAGTCAAATGTAGACATGACACTACTCTAAGAGTTATGCAATTTAAAACAAGTCTTGGTGAAAGTAGAACAACTGAGAGCATCTACGTCTCGAGGGTGGAATAACGTAGCTCCAACTGTACAACACTGACAGAATTCACACATAAATGTGTTGAGAATGTATTTGAATTTGATGCTGAGATAAATAAAAATACATTTTGTTCTTTATTTCAGTTTGATAGTCTGATTGGAATCGCATTGTTTATAAAAGGACCACAAATACATTTAGAGTTAGAAGAATTATTTATCTCGAAAAGAAAACTATCAATCAAATATAAAGTTATTAGTATAGAAATAATCAGGACTGCTTTGAAAACAATAATCATGTTTTTAATAGTCTTTATAACACAAAGATAATTAACCAGGATTCTTTCAGACAATAGAGGACTACTTTTCGTTCCTTTTTTGTTATTAAACTGATTAAGATGTGTTGAGTTTAAATTTCGGAGAGAAAAAGATTAATTAAAGAAAAAATCGGAGCGTCGGTGGCTCAGTGGTTTAAGCACTTGACTTGTAATCTACAGGTCTTGGGTTCGAATCCCGCCGCCATGTACCAATGTGATTTTCGATTTTTCGAATTTTCATATGTACATAATTTACCTGACGTTCTTACGGTGAAGGAAAACATCGTGATGCAACCTTCACATATCCGCGAAGAAATTCAAAGATATGTGTGAAGTCAACCAACCCGCACTTGGCCAGCGTGGTTGACTATGGCCTAGTCACCCTAACATTAGGGTAGGCTCCGAGCCCCTCGGTGGGGACATATAGTGAGCTGGTGATGATGATGATGATGATGATGAGTTTAAATTTATGGTTACAGTAACAATAAAACTTTACAGTGACCGCCTTCGTAAAATAAAATGAGTTATTTCCCTAATACGTAATTTCGTTCACATTTATTAGGGTACTTTAAAGCTTTGCTTGTTTCTAGTACTCTCCCAAATTGGAAATGTTTTAACTAAATTAATTGTCCGTGAAATCGTTAAGTTGAATCAATAAGGATATTGCTTTAGATTTAGACTAAAAGTATGTAATAAAGTAAGTAAAAGCTTAAAATGATTGTTATTTTAATTACCACAAAATTGGACCTTTAATTTAGTAAGATCTACACTAAGAAACCATTAAGGATTCAGATTGAAGCAGTAAGACTAACATATACGGTATATGTGGAAGAGCCCTAGCACGAAAATTTGGAAGAACGTATTCGTAAGGTCATCGTTAAACTTTGTATGACTTTTGTATGTATAAATTTTTACATGATAAGGTGCTGCACAAATAGAAATCAAACAGCCTTATTAATTTTCTCCTAGGGCAGGAGACGGGTGTCCAAACTAGGGTGGCGCTTTGTGTAAAGGATCACCAGGCCCCAAACCCAAAGACCACAATGAAACATACAAAACCAAAAAATATAACACAAGAACATTATGAATTTACTATATCAGCAACAAGTGAGGGAATATTTAAAGAAAATAAAGAAGAAATTCATATTATATGTGAGGTGTTGAAATATGATCGAATTAAAAAGAACGAGAGAAATATTAAAATTATAAAAAACTGACAATCATAATAAGAATCGTGAAGGAATAGTAAAGAGCTTGACCTTGCCCCGCCGATATCGACTGAACTTATACAGTAGTAATTTGACATTGACATGGAACCAATTGCTGTGATAAAATATACATGGCGGAAGTTCACCAATTTATCGACACGCTATTCGTAAGTACACTTTAAATATGAAGAAAGTGAACTTTTTTTATTATATTTGATCTCAGATTTACGTTATACTGTTTGGTTTTTTTTTAGAATGCGCCTATACGTGCATTATGGTCAAAAAACTTGTGTATTTGCTGTTTGAATTCTAACAATCCGTCACATTTCGTTACATGAAAGAGATGTAAGATATAACGCGGACGTGGGAAAGAGGACAGATATATCGAATAGTTATTGCTTATTATAATGTTAACCAGTTGCGTTAGTTGACAGTTTGTAAATTGTTATCGGAGTATAATTGCTTGCTGAGCTGTCTCTCATTACACAGTGTCGCGTCAAATGAGTTTCGCTTAGCTAAGCATCACGTCATTGGAAACACCGTGAAATAACATTTCAATGGTTTCGATTTAATAGCTATAAAACATTTAGTTAAGTTTATTTGTTAATTAAATGAAAAAAATCAGTAATGTAATATTCCTGTTAGTCAATTTTTGGATGGTGTATTTTCAACAGAACTTTACCACTACTTTAAACAGGTGCGATAAAGGAAAGGGAAGCAAAAACTTATGAATATATTTAGGGTGTAACAGAAGGAAGAGAGCGATCGAATATTTCCAATGAAATCGATTACGTAACGTCGCCTCGCTCGCAACTACGTGATGAGAATACCAATCGCGTGATCTATCGATATGCAAACCAGACAACGACATTGTTCCCCTTTTGACTTTATTAAAATACCCCAAGCGACACACCCCTGGTAACTTCCCCACTGTATCTTATAAGTATGAAAGCAAACTTGTAACACGCAACCGTTAGATTTATTCTTGGTTACAAATATTTAACAATCATTTTGACGACTATTTGCCTAAAACTTGGGAAAAATATTTTTTTCTTTTTTTCTAGACCGTATTATGTATTTTATGTTGACGATTGTTTTATATTTCTATTTTGTTTTATTGTATTTTAACATTTAAGATAAATATAAACTAATTTCAATAAACGTAGTAGTTTGATATTTTTATGTTGACTACGTTTTATTGTTCAGCAATGAAAGGACAATACAATCAAAATTTCAACACAAGCGAAGTCAATTACGTCGAATCATAAAAGTTTGTACGTGAGAAAAATGTTTATGTTTTCGTAGCTTTGTGCGGATTGGTTTCGTAACGTTTGACCGGTTTCGTAGAGATTGCTACGGCGTAGAGGTGTAGATTATTAAATACACCTATTGCTTTTAAAAGGTACGGAAAGTTTTATTAGGTAACCAGCTTTCGCCCGCGACTCCGTCCGCGTGGAATTAAAAAAAAACAAAAGTAACTAAGTAAGTAGCCTATGTTCTTCGAGACTATCCTCTACAACTATGCCGAATTTCATCGACATCTATTCAGCCGTTTAGGCTACAAAGTCTAACATCCATTCATCCATCTAAACTTTCACATTTACAATTAGTAAGATTATTTTACATGACTTTTGATACGGTAAAGATGAATTGCTACGAAGAATCTACAAGGTTACCATGTTGTTTGATTTAAGCGTATTTGCCCAATGTATTAATATTGCTTGTCTTGTATTTGTCATTACTAGTTATTGACTATTTGTTATTTTGATCTATTACATGTCACGTATTTGTTTCTTATAGACACATCTGTTTTTTTCGAAGAGAAAAATAACCTTTTGTACAGATGTTTCGTGAGTGGGAACTCAAGGCTACACAAGCCACAAATATTCCACTCCTAGACTTATTGATTTCTTCCAAGGCCTTTGCTTTTTTACTAGATCAATTGAAACGTGTTTTCATTTCATAAAGATTTTCTAAAGGTAACCTAAATAAGGTTAAAATTAATAATTTGTTGAAACAGATCCGCTCCTTTATCTTTCCATCAGATTTTCAATTAACGTGCTTTATCTTAAAGAGAAATGCTGATTCATTCAATATTAAAGCTCTTGACTCAATTTTACTTACTTATAAAATATCGAGTAATCAATCATTCGTCAATGAATTTAAAAACAATCTAATTATCCTTTATATTTATTACATTGCTTTGTATAATTTAAGTAAGTCTTCATTATTTTTGGTATAAAAACGACTAAAATTTAGAGTGTGAAAAATAATAAATATTTTGTATAAATTCTCTCGTTACAAAATATCGTAAAACACGACGCCGAAACTGTTCTCTAATGAGTTTAGAATTTTTAATGAACGTATACTTCTGACAGAGGATCGGAAGGTTCCCTTTAATTAGACCACTGAAAGTAAGAGTAAATTATTACAACAAATTATACTTTTTCTGTAAAAGTTTTTATTATTTATTTAGTCAGAAAAAAGGGTTCTCATCCTTGCATGCATGGAAACGATGAAGTTCTTGTAGGTGTTAAAAAATATAAAAAAGACGTTTTATGAGGAATTAAAAAGTATATTAATATATTTTTTATTTTACAATATTTCAATATTTACTTATATTTACAATAAACGTTACGTTTCACGTTACAATATCGCACGAGAACGTCACAAATGACGTCACATTCACTATTACTAAATTCACGTTACATTAATTTTGTTCCAAATAATTTTATTCTTTACTGGTAACAAGATGTTTAAAATTATACTCTAAGACTTATTTAGAAAACGAGGTGCGATACCCAAACCTAAAAAATCACATACTAATACTCCAGTAATCGAGTTTGTATGCTTTGATTATCCATTTAACACTTGTAATTAGTTACAAGAATTTACATAGCCCAAAAAATAATTTGAGAATTGTTTCATCCGATCCGCTAGCTCTTGCTAATTAAAATTTATATCTTTACACTTTTTATAAAGATAAAAATAATCGTTTAACACCTCTTTAGGATATTTAAATCATTCATGTAAGATTAATCCATTTTTATCTCACTTAATTTATTGCCTATCTACCATAACCTGACAGTACTTTACCTAAGTATACTTTTGTTTCATTATCTCCTTCAGCCTTTTCAATAACACGCCCTCCGTGTTCAATTATTTCTGCAGTGTACTCATGTTTAATAGGTGTAGACTTAAATATATACTTCAAACGTTTTGTTGATTTGGTAATCCCTTTATCGTCATCATTATTTGTTGTTATTGCTCTCGTCATATAGGATGGATCAATAAAATAGTATGCAGATTTAAAATGTTTCCTAGAACCAGTGTAATCCTTTCTTACAGCTCCACTATCATATATAGGATACGCTTCCTCTTTAGGTCTTGTATCAGTTTCGTGTACTTCAGGATAATCGTATAGCATACTCTGTGCAACTCTACGCCAGTTTTCTATCTCTGTTTCGTCGTATTCAGAAAATAGAGCGATGGGTGTAAATGTTCTTGCTTTCATTAACATGTCATCGTAATCGGAGATATATTCGAAAGGCTTGACTGTTTTCCTTTTTGATGATACCCGCTGTAATTATAAATACGTAATAAAAAGAGAAAAACTTTTGAGAGTTCGGTCATCAAGGAATGTGTAGTACTAACTAAACATTACGGTAGCTCGTAATTTTAAAACCCTGCAAGCAATACGCATCTATAACGGACTGTCGTAAAGTTAGATTATCATATAACGGTATAGTAATCAGAATATAAATTCACTAACAAAACTAATTTACCGCATAAGTCACTGATGTACGCTTCTTGGCAGTTCTCGTAAGTTTCCGCGCTTTATTTACGTAGTACACACGATCCATTGCTGCTTTCATCTCATTGACGGAGCCTTGTGGGAACTTTTTTATAACCTGTTATTATACATTCAAATTAATATTATAAAATAAATGATTTAGCTTCGCATACTAAGTAACTATCAAAGATAAACGGAATACTGAAATTAGATTTTAATATGTTAAAGCGTTTTAAATAATAATATCCAAACTCCATTTGAAATTGTTATTTATTAGATTGTAAGAGGCGTTTATAAAGGGAAGTTTTTTTTGTTACAGTTCCTAAAATTTGAGGAACAACGAATGATTCTAAAATTTAATAAAAGTAATCTTTCAAAAGCCTTACATCATTTAATGGAACTTTTGTTGGTGTGACGGCGAAAATAAGATTTTTTGGTATAACCGTTTCAGTTGTCTTTCGTTGTGATATTGTGTGTTCTGATGTCGTTTGTTCTGTTGCTGTAAGGTCTTCCGTTAAAACCACGTCGAAGTCCTCTTCGGTAGTTGGTGCAATAAATTTTTTACGTCCATGATGTCCTGAAATTTTAATATCTAAGATGATACTGTTTGAAATGGAAAACAATATTGATCTTTTACCCAGTCAAATGCGCATATTGCATATAGCTCTATACAGATTTCTATCATTGGTATTACGAGTAGAAATACTAAAATACTTACTTTTAGAAAACATAACAAGCTAATTTAATAAGATTTGTATTCATGTGTAGCTTTTTAACTATTTTGATGTATTCTGTATTCTTGAAGGTTATTTAGTCTATGCTATAAATTAATACCATTTTGCATTTATTTAAAATAACAATATTAACTTTGTAATTGTGATCCAACACATTATTTAAATATTTATATCATGGTTTTAAAATGTCTGAATTCTACTTGTTACTTTAATAATCGGACAGTAGTCAGAGGACAAAATAAGGGTGTTGCATTGGCTCGGCGACACGACGGCCATATTGGTAGTGGCGAGCGTGGATACATGGAAAAACGGTGTTATTGGTAAGGTTATACTGTGCAAATTGGAAGAAAACATAAGAGGTAAAGAAGACTATATTTTTAAAGCATAACATGGCTATACCTAATATATCACAATCACCAAAGAGTTGTGTAACTTACTTAGAAACATCTTGGGATCTTCATACCACCAAGTATCCGCGTCTACAGGATTGTTCATATCTCGCGTTAAACTAATGGTCAACTGTGAATCTGTAAACGAAGGAATCATCTAACAAACGAAGAATAAAATCTATGTAAGAAAAGATACCTATAAAGCAAATTGAAGGTGTTAGTTTAAATTCTCTACAAGGGGATATAAGATAAGTTTTTATATGCAGAATATGTGTCATGTCTTCCTTATAGTATATTACTAAAGTATTCAGTTAGTAAAAAAGTAGGCAATATTTATTACTACTTTTTAATCTTACTAATATTACAACTGCAAATGTTTACATCAACGGATGGATGGATGTTTGTTAGAGTTTGTAGCCTAAACTGCTGACCGGATCTGGATGAAATTTGGCATAGATGTAGGGGATAGTCTGGAAGAACACATAGAGTATTTGATACAAAATCATTTTTTTATTCCATGCGGACGGAGTCGCGGGCGAAAGCTAGTACATATATAATTACCATTGTATTTTATATATTCAGACATAGAGTAGTGATAGCCAAACGCTATCCCAGATGCAACTGCTATAAAAAATAATAAACAAACAGCTCCACCAATACAGCATGACATTAGAAAACTCCATATTCTGCAAAAATAAAAAATATTGTATAAAAAAAATAAAAGCGTAAAGGAGTAACAAACTATAAGAGATACACAGAAATATTTGTAATAACTAAGTAAATACTAAATATAAGCAAAAAATGGTTTTGCGAAATTCAAATGAACTTAAAACTGTAACTATAACTTGAGCAAGGACGACTTTATCACTATGAGCGATTAAACCAGCATACAATATCCAATAGACATTAAAATTAAGCAAGTAAATTGAAAAACACTCTAGAAGGAGAGCCATGAAAAAGGATCGCAGCTCTTGTTCCTTGAATCTTACCTCTGAATGAAATCAAAAGTCCACGCTATGTATGTAAATATGCAACACATACTTTATACAATTTACGATGTTTTAATTTAAAAGATAATATCATGAAATACGTATAAAAATCATTTTGTTTTTAGCCGAAATGTTTAAATTAACAGCAATTTTCTTTCACCGAAACATATTTAATATCACTAAATAATTTATTTATTAACACGATAATTTTAAATGCAAAAATAATTTACATGTTGTGACCAAAATACCTGTCAAAATACCAAATTATAACATGACTGTCAGTTCCGTCATTTTGGTATTGCCAGAATATTTTCTAATAACACACTACTAAAATAACACTTCTCTAGAGAATTATTGACCTCTATAATTGGACAGGCTCTAAGACAACTATTTGTGCCCATTTGACTTTCGTCGTCATGGCGCTGACGGTCGCGGTTGGCGGCGGCGACGAGACTTGGTACTAATAATAGATAGCTTTATTTTGATTAAGATTTTTCGGCAGCCCAACAATTCCACTTGCGGCTCTATAATGCAGCTTAGTATTTTAATTGAATTCTTAATCTCTTCATTGACTTTCCATAGAAATCTGTGTTCCTATTGCGTATTAGTGAATATTGTTTCTCTTTTGTCAAAGAGAATTAAACATGACACACAAATATCAACGGAGTCGAAACCAACTGTAATACTAAGTGAATTCACATATTCTTAAGATTTATTGATGTTTCTAGTAATATTAAATGTTGTAGACATTAAGAATATGTGAGTTACGTATTAGTTTCCTCACAATATACTTACGGAACTTCTGCTAAACAAATTAGTTTCAGAAGCCAGTCGTGCCGTTAATAGTGTTACGTTAAACTTTGATGGCCTTTTGCCACTATCCATTACTGCTGACAACAAAATCACATCAACCACATTCCCTTTCAAAATTAAACTTATAATTGGGAAATAGTAATAGTAATTGCACAGAGTTAAGGTTATTAAGAATAGTTAACTCATAACAAAATAGTTTCTGGAAATAGTTTTGGCTATTTTATATCGAATTTCGACCAAAAACTGAATCTTTACAGATAAATAATACAAGGCTTTAATTGTAAAATAAAGTTGATCGGGGCAATTTTTTAGTCTTAATCTTCAATATAACTTAATTAATGAAATGAATACTGTTTAAAGACACATGATCCTCACAAAATAATCTTTGTTATGTTTTGACGAAAACAAATTATTTTACTTTACATAAAATTTAAGGGATGATCAAAAAATTTTATCCTAACTTAGATAGTGAAATTCTAGACTTGGTTAACTTTGTATGTGTTGTTAAGACATAGTTAACTAGTGACCGCTATCACCGGAAGTTGGTATGGCCACTAAAGGAAATTGCTCGGGATGTAAACATCCGCCGGCTAACCGCTAATGCACTCGTGTGCTTTACACCACAATGTGTTATGGCACGTGTTTCATTGGCACATTACCTTTATTCATAAAAGGTAACAAACGAGCGCAACGCCTTAACGTGTGGCAGAAGTTTTTGAGAGAATACGAGATATAGAAACCTCTTTTGTTTTTTTATTATTCTATTTTCAAGTCTCTCTTCTCTTTATTGCATTACTAGGATTGCTTCTTGGACAAGACATTTTCATTTCTCTCATTAAAGAAGAAGATAACAGAAATAGAATAACGAGAACTTTAACAAGATGTCTTTGGACAAGACTTTCCTCAAGTTATATTTCAAAACGTTTACTACATGGTTTCTTATATCTTTTCAATCTAAGATATATGGAGGACAAGCTTGAAATATTCCTGTAGTTCGTATTCGAACGACACGTCGTTTGACTTCTATTTTTATGACAATCGATAGTATTGCAACGTGATGTGACTGTTTTATATTTTTCACCGTTTCCACATTTTACAAGAATTTTCTACCAAAAAATTGAAACAAACTATTTAAACTTTCATGAGATATTATCTTATAAAAAACGTGAGTTGAGCTGTTTTTAATTCGTTTAAAAAATTGAATTGTAATTATTGATAACACGTTTACAAAATAAAAATATAGAGAAAAACAAAATAAAAGTGTATAATACAACAAGTGATTTTATCCTCTTATTTTGATTCAATGTTTCCGAGTAGCTTTTATTACTTGAAGTAAACATCAATGTTTGAAGACGCTTTCAAGATTACTGTAAGTGATTTCTCAAGGGAGTTCGGATCTTCGTTCGGGATATTTCAAAATGCAGTTGCATATTGGAAGAGTCTTACCGAGGTTTACTTTGCTTGTTTATTTTATGAAACGAAAACTTTGTACTACTTATGGGAAATCGCGCGAACGGATGAACGTGAAAACATGATACAGTTAAGCCCGCTACATACGCTCACTTCGAACTGACAGTTTTAACTGAAGATTCGAACTGTTACAGTGTGAACAGTTTTCACAAAACAGTTCGATTCCTTAGTAAAAATGTCCGAACTGACGGTCCGTAGAGGACATTAAAATTATCATAGAGAAAAATGGATACAAGTTTTTTAAGTAAAACAATATTTAATCTTACTTCTTACTAATCTTACTAATATTATATATGCGAAAGTTTAGATGGATGGATGGATAGATGGATGGATGGATGGATGGATGTTTGTTAGCGTTTGTAGCCTAAACGGCTGAGCGGATCTCCATGAAATTTGGCGCAGGTTTAGAGCATAGTCTGGAAGAACACACACTTTTTATCCCGGGAATAGATACGGTTCCCGTGGGATTCATTAATTTAGTTTTTTAATGTTTACATAATCATTTTGCAACAGTTCAACTTATCTGAATGAAATTTGGCACAGATATAAAACAAAGTCTGGAGTACACATGGGATAAGCTTCATCCCGAGACATGTCCGGTTCCCGAGGGATACGTAGTTTTTTGTAATTTATATAGTTCGTATGTTTTCTAATACCACGCGGACGAAGTCGCGGACAACAGCTCGTTGTAAATAATTTTTACCAATGGGCGCCCATTTAGTATTAGTATAGTTTAATCAAATGACAGTAAAATTAATAATTCAGTTGAATTCTCAGTTTTAAAATCTCGTATTCTCGCTTCGTGTTTCGTATCAATTTTCGTCGGTGCAAATTAAATTTGAGCTCCACTAAATGCGGAGGGACTCGGATCGCTGGAGACTTGTGTTTAACAAACCGCTTTGTTTTCCAACAAGATAAATTAATTTGCAGGAACTTAGTTCCAGTGCGTTGAGTACAAGTGTAGAAGTAAATGATTAAATCAGGGAAGCTCCTTGCATTGTGTTTGATTATGTTTTTTTTCTTTTTAAAGATACGTTCTTTTATTTTAAAATATTGATTCTAACACGTTATCTGTTAACGTTAAAATTGTCAACGGTGATTTGATTGAAGAGACGATGGGAACACCAGAAAGTGTTAAGAATGAATGTGGATGGTTACAAAGGAAGAGGAAGACCGAAGAAAGTATGGATGGATTGTGTGAAAGAGTATATGCTTAAAAAAGGAGTGGATTCAGATATGACAGCTGATAGAAATGTATGGAGCAGCACATATTGTGCCAACACCCCATAAGGGATAAGGGCAAGTTGATGATGATTTGATTGCCAGTAGATATAACTAATTTTATATATCAAAACATTATATATTTATTAAGCAGCACCTTTAATAGATAAATAGATTTTGTATCCTGTAAGTACTTTGCTGTTTTATTATTCAAGAAACCATCCATCACATCCGGCCCTTAATTATTACTTGAATTTTAATTGTGCGTTTGTAATCCTAAATAGGCATGAATAAATAAAAGCGCCTTATATTATCTTCATGTTATATAAAGTGATAACGTAAAGATGTATTTATTCGCAAACATATTATCTAAAACCAATAATAATCCATTTTTTTTTTCAGTTTTATCATTGAACTATTAAGGTCATTAAATAAAAAGTCCGTTTTGATGATTGCCAAAAATTTGGAAACAAAAATAATTTGCATTTTTAAAGTCAATGGAATAAAAAACGTACCAAAAACGTAAACCGATCAAAGGCTATCCTGTAAGATGAAAAGATAATTGAAACATTAATTTTGAACAAATGAATATCGCTTATTGCGCAAAATTGATTGAAGATGAATCCAATAAGAAAACAGTTTAATTAAGAGGTAAATTTTGTAGGAAGTATTCGAAAGGAATTGTTAGGAAGTTAGTGATTAGTTAAGTATTGGCTATATTTGTTTATTCATAAAATTGTTTTAAGTAAGATTTATTTAGTTACTTTTTTCTCGTCAAGTTTATGGTTACGCTATGCAATAAAAGTAATCTAGATAGCGATCCAAAAAAAGTTCATCATGTCCGTTCACTACTACAAATTAAGAAGTGTTGACAAGTATGAAGTACAAGTCATAGAAGAAAAGTAACGGCGCACATTGGGCTGTATCCAGTTGCTCCATAGACAACTTTATCTGATGTTTGAAATGTCTCTTTTTTTTGTTTGAATGTGCTTTTTTTCAGTAAATGCATACCTTATA